ACTGTTATCAGGCCTCTATTCTGCACCTCCCCTGGCCTCCTCATACCTGGACTCCCGGCCGCCTGCATGATCTGCAGCTGGTCTGCTTCTGAACCGCACGGAAAGAACATACTCGTGCTCTTCACTTCCCCACTCTCGTGTCCCGCCCAGACACCAAGTGGTGGGACTATCTAAGACCTGTAGAGGGTGGGGAGCCGTAATGGGCCAGCATATATTCCACCTTAATCCCACGGCCCATCGGGGGCATCAGTTGGTGGCTCCTTCACAGAGCTGTGAGCACAGGTGTGTACCTGGCATGGTTTATCCCCCATCCTGGATGCCTGCCCTTTTTGTGGTGTAAGGGGAAAAACGTGATGCACGCCTACCTTGAATGCCCCAGGTCACAGCCCCTATTCTGGCTGTTACTGAGGTTCTGGCTGCACTTTTCCCCTCACCTATCTGTGGCCCCACAAAGTCGTGAGAACTCTTCGTTAACCTCCTCCTGGCCCTAGCGAAAGCCGCCATCTGTAATACCAGGAGGAGGATGTTGCAACTGTGGAGCCTATTGCCGTTCCTCCCTTATATCACGTGCCTGGGCAGAGTGCTTCTGGACAGCATCCACTGGCTCCATTGACAGCTTCGAGGAGCAGTGGGCGCTGTCCGGGGTTCTCTGCTCGCTGTCCCCATCTGGTTCCCTTGTTTTGACCCTGACCTGCACCCCCAACCGTGTTTTTCATTATTTGTCCCCCGCAAGGCTGGGGGGGGGGCTGTTAGGAGTCGGCAGGATGACACCTACCCATTCCTGGGTTTCAAATAGAACCTCACTACAGCGCCCTTCTTCTATTGGGCCATTGTTTTGACCTGTTATCAAACGACCTCTGATGTTGCCTGTGGTAAGAGGTGTCCCTTGATCTCTGGTATGGAGTATATCTTCTCTTATTGAACGGCGTATACATTCTGTTGGGGTTTTTGTGGTACCCGCAGGATGACACCTACCCATTCCTGGGTTTCAAATAGAACCTCACTACAGCGCCCTTCTTCTATTGGGCCATTGTTTTGACCTGTTATCAAACGACCTCTGATGTTGCCTGTGGTAAGAGGTGTCCCTTGATCTCTGGTATGGAGTATATCTTCTCTTATTGAACGGCGTATACATTCTGTTGGGGTTTTTGTGGTACCCAATGACCACCATGAGTCAGGTGTTTGGAAGAATCAACAGTCTTCGATGTGCCGTTTAATTTTAAAGCTTTATTCAATGTGCACAAACAGAGAGCACCCTTGTACAAAACCAGCCAGGCTCTCAGAGGGACAAGTCCTGTCTCATCCCCGCCCCCAGTATTTTATAGCATAGAGTGGCTGCTCCACCCCAACCTTTGTCCATTCTCGTCACATTCTTTACACTCAACACGACCAACCATGTTTAACATTCCCATAGATAAGCCTGTTTACCACACACCAGTACCTTGACCCTCCATCTGCTTAGCTCACTCTCCTCAGGCACTTTCCAAAACAAAGAGAAGATGTTCTAGAAACTGATTCACTACCCAAGGGGTGGGGTGAGCTCGGCAGGTTTCTGTGCACGTACGTACCTGCTAAATTATCCTTTGCATAAAACACATACATTCCTAAGCATAGGCACAATATACAATGCCCTTCATTTCCCCCATTTTGTATTTGGGGCTAAGAGTAGTTTAGACCTCACTAGTGCCACTCCCTCGTATGTTTTAGGAGCAATAATTGACATAATCAATGCTCGAGTAACTGGCGCTTCGGTAGCAGATCTAAGTAATGCATTCAGCATTTGATACATAATGATAACAGCAATAAAAGCAATAACACTAAATCCCCATACACGTTGCCAAAACACAACCCAAATACAATCCCGTGGAACCCCTGTTCCCACAGTAGCAGACCCTTTTATCCACTGAATCACTGTAGCTGCCTTACCACTTCTGTCATGATATTTTGTGTCGGCTTTGAGAGTTTCATTCTCTACCTGTTTTGTAGTAATATAAGCATGCAGAATTTTAGCTCCCGATTCTAATACCATTTGCTCGATCCTTTCCCTAATTGCTCTTAGAGCATTTTCAAATGAATAGTCTCGATCCATCTCCCAGTCTGGGAGAGGAGGAAGAGAAGTATCAACTGTGATGTCAGGAGCAATCAGGATAGACCCAATAGAGATAGCAGTTAATGGCCAGAACCCACACCAGGAGGTGGAGTTCTTCCTCACTGCTATAGCACCCATCAATTTGGACATTACATGCACCATTAGGTCAGGTCCCAGCATTTGAGAGGGCTTGCCCTAAATCCAGGTCTCCTGTACACCAAACCCATCCTCCCAGGATGGAACAGTGGTCTTGTGAGAAAGCCGTGTAGTTCTCTGGCCTTTATCACATACCTTACGTTCTGGATGCTGCACAGGTGTCCTTGAATGGGAATGGGAGCGGGTGGACAGGATGAGCCTCCAATTCAGGAGCTAGACCTACAGGAATCAACACCCCTCCAAGGATGGAATGACCATCCCAGCATGCCCCTATTACTGATAGGGACCCCTCCCCAGTCGTCATCCAAGGTGCAGACACTTGGTCTTTGAGAACCGCAGCTCACGCAGCGGGGTACCCATGACGCGAGCAAGTCTCCTATCAGGGCCTCAGCTTCCATGTTGAATACCATGCCGGCTCAATAACACATTTCTTCCTCATGCTTCGACTCAGTGACCAATGCCTGTTCATACATTTTAGTGGTTTCGAAAAGACGGGTGAGTACAACAGTGAGGGCTTGAGCAGTTAGTTGCGTTGCTGAAGTGAGATGGTGTGTAGCTTGATTAGACGTGAGCCCTCCTTTTACCACAGAAACTGTCCCTGCTACTAACAAGTTTTCAGCTCAATCCCTATTAGATTCGATAGGGTGAGTAACGGCATTTACAGCTGATCCAGTGGCCCCTCCCCAGGCAGCTATATTAGTAAAGACAGCACGCTTCCTTCTACCTTTGATAGAATCATGCTTGATGTGACACTTAGGAAGCTGCTGCAACATTGTTAAAATGAGACCTTAGAGAGTGTGCTCAAGTCTCAGAAACCACTCAGATAGATTCTTGCACCTTTTTTTTTTTTTTTTTTTTTTAAAACAACTTGATGCAAAAAGTACATCACCATTCATACATTGGAAGGAGAGCCATCCTGTTGGTCATCCAGTGATATTAAAATGACCCCATTTCCAATCCCATGGAGTTGGGTCACATTGCTTGGATCCTAGTGTCTCCATTGGCATTAGTTGGAGCAATTGCTCCAGCGAAGGAGATTATCACAAGGCTCCCCAGGAGTCCATAGGGTAGACGTGGATTATTGTGCCCCATGTTGAGTGTCACCCTTGTATACTTTTCCCTGTGATAGGTGCACTCAAACTGGAATTCCAGTGACCCAGGCCACAGAGGCAGTTACCAAGAGAACCATGTGAGGTCCAGTCCAGGCTGGTTCGAAGGTCCATTTTTTTAATAGAATTTCACCAACACCAAATCACCAGGCTGCACCTCGCCTGTGTCCTCTTCACTGGCCTTTGGGTCCGGTTCAGCTCAGAGGTCCTGTGAGACACACAGACAATTTGCAATATTCAGCAAGCTTGTTACCCATAGAATACAATTCCTCCATACAGTTCAACCTGAGGCATTTGCAGGCCCACACAAAGACCATGAGAAACTGATCAGGGAGCTGCTGTTTGCTGACTATGCCACCCTCCTTGCTCACAGAGGCAGCTATGCAGCAAATTACATCTTGTTTGGCAAAAAACTGCTCAGATCTTCGGTCTTGAAGTCAGCCTGAAGAAGGCTGAAGTTCATCAGCCCGCACCCCACGAGGAGCACCATCCACCAAGCATCTTCATTGAACAAACAGAACTGAAAGTTGTCCACCAGTTCAGCTACTTGGGGTGCGTGATCTCATCTGATGCCAAGATCGATAAAGAAGTCAATGACAGGCTGGCCAAGGCAAACAGTGCATTCGGCAGACTATACAAACGTGTCTGGAACAGCAACCTCAAAAGAGACACGAAGGTCAGCATCTACAAAGCTGTTGTGCTGACCACTCTCTTGTATGGCGCTGAGTCCTGGGTCATGTACCGTCGTCACCTGAGTCTCCTCAAGTGTTTCCACCAGCGCTGTCTCTGCACAATCTTCAATATTCATTGGAGTGACTTCGTCACCAACACTGAAGTCCTCGAGTTAGCGGAGGTCACCAGCATTGAGGCCATGGTCCTCAAGGTACAGCTTTGATGGGCAGGGCACATCGCCAGGATGGAGAACCACCACCCACCCAAGATCGTGCTGTATGGGGAACTGTCCTCTGGCTACCGTGACATAGGGGCACCACGAAAGCGGTACAAAGACTCCCTGAAGAAGTCCCTCACTGCTTGTATCACTCATCGTCAGTGGGCAACACAAGCAGCTGATCGCAACTCCTGGCGGCACACAGTCCACCAGGCCACCTCCTTCTTCGAAGATACCCGCAGGGCCTGTATGGAGGACAAAAGGAGAAGGAAGAAGAACCGTGACCCCTCAGCACCTATCCC